GATATATGATTCTTGGTTGGCAATTTTTCACTTTCAGAGTATAATATAAGTCATTCCGTTGTCTTCTTGTATGTATGGATTTTGTATGGGTGTAGAATTCAGTCTTACTAGTCCTCCTATATAGGCAACTTTGTTTTTCCTGAGCTGTTCTCAGAATTCTTTCCTTGTTTTAAGAAGGTGACAATAATATTTCTTGGTTTTTTTTCTTTTGAAGTCCATCCTGTTTGGAGTTCATTCAGCCACTTGAAAAGCTGTCTTCTCATCTTTCAGGATGTTAGAGAAGTTTCATTCCAATAATTCATAGAAAATATTCTGTAGGTTGCTTTTGTTTTTCATTTGGTCTCTCCCTATTCTAGAATTCCTATTATACATAAATTATTCATCTTGATAGTGCCGCACATAAATAAATCTTAGGTTTTCTTTGGATGTTTTTGTTCTTTTTTCTGATTGTTTCTCTAGCAGGTGATTATTGAGAGATTTTTCTTTAAGCTCAGTAACTCAGCTTTTTATTTATTCAATTCCATTTCTTTGCTCTTTCAGTGCATTATCTATTTCTCAAGTCTTAATGTTAATCTTCTGGCCTTCTAATTGCTGCTTTCATATGGTTCCCATATTTTTAATTATTTTGTCAATTTTCTTCCTGATTTTTCCCTTAGTTTTTTATATATTTTCCATTATTTCATACGTAGTTTTCTAGCTCTCTCTCTCAATCTGTTTAAATTGCCTAATTAGTTTATTTTAAATTCCTTATCAGGTAGTTCTGATACCATTTTTACTGTTATATTTTCTGACTCTATTTTTATCACTTGTTTGAGACACTCTGTCTTGTTTTTTGTGTAAGCTGAAATTGTCTGTTTTCTCTGAGCTATTGTAGTGTAATGTATATTTATTTAGCTGATAACTGTTTATTGGTGTATTCTCAGGCATTCACAACCTGTCTCCTAGTGGATGTTATAGCTACCAGAAGTGTGAATGCAATGAATTCTCTGTTCATTATTTGTGTAGTATAGCTCAGGGAAGGTTCATGTACTTCCAGTAGCAGGACACTCTGCCAGATGCCTGACCCCATGCAGATCAGAGGCTGTGCAGGAGGGGTTTCCCTTGGCTACTGGGTTGGCAAGGACAGGAACTGGCCATACCTCTGACTACCAGGACACAGGAGTAAGAGAAAACTGCATGTCATTGCCGTCAACCTTCAGCTATGACCTGTACCCACAGACTGCTGTATCAACAGATGCTTGCAAAAGTTTAAGATGCACAACTCCATGCCATCTCACAGTCAAACCATTTATATTGCTTATTGCTGCTCTTGTTCAGCTTCCTTTTCCAGTCAGCACTCAATCAACTTCTCTGTTCTGTCCTCTGGTGCTCAGGGTTCCAGGAAAACCATCTGAATCTTTTTTCGCTCAGTTTCCCATGTCTTTGTTACCCTATTGCATGTGTTCTTATTTAACTGCTAATGTTTCAAGGCCTTATCTTTAAAATAGACATTCAATATCTTAAAGTCAAATGATCTTTATCTCTTCATATCACATGCCATAATAATCTTTAATAGCTGGTAGTGAATTAGCACTTGATTATTTGAGTTGAAGTTAATTATTCCATAGTACCACAACTCATCTGCAAATTTGTTGTACTATGACAGCATGTGAGCTTCTAGAATGCTGGTAGCTATGACACCAGTATCCAAATAGCAGTAGGGTCACATATAGTGGACAAGCTTCAGTGGAGCTTCCAGACTAAGATCCACTAGTAAGCAAGATGTGCAATTCATCCGGTAAGAGTTTGTAAGTGCAACATTTTGCTAAAGACAATTAAAAAATGGTTGCAACAGTAAGGTAACAGGGAACTGCCAGAGTTTCAAGCTAGATTCAGATGAGAACATGTAATAAGAAGATCCTTGCTGATATCAGATGGGTCATCTTCCTTGTTGGTAGTGAATTCTCCATTCCAGCTTGTGAGATGACATTTTATACTCACAATAGAGTTCCATTTTTTTATAGTCACCATTAGCCCTGCTAGCAATCATCCACAACTATCTGAATAATTTCCTACCTTTTCTTGCCCACATTCATCAGGAAAAAATACAGTTGCTTAGTAGGAGTTACAAAGAATATGGATAGAAGAGTCATATGAAGTAATTCATAGCACTGTAGTGGTAATAAAAATTTATAATTACCATTGTGAGGAACAAGCATTCCAATTATGAAAGCCTAAATTAGAATAGGAGAAATGGGATTGAAAAGGAAAGACAGAACTAAAAATTAATAAAATAGCAAATCATATAAGAAAATAGCAATGAAATAAACTGCATCGTAAAAGACTTAGCTTTCTAGCACTGATCAAGAGGTTGATTATGATGTTGTTTACTACAATAAGAATAATTATTAATAAGAAGCAAGTGTACTGGGATGAGAGTGTGAGTTGAAGGGAGAAACAGTTATTTTGTTGCCTAATCTTTTGTCAGAGTCCTGGTGTGACACTGCAGGATAATGCACTGGACCAAAAAGTCACTCTTCGGAAATGCTATACAGAGTCACTAAAAGTCCATGCCAACTCAATAGCACTTAACAAATTTTTGGTACTATATTAGTATATAAATTGTCTTTTGTTTTCATCCTCTTTCCAAAACACTGCTTATTACATCTCAATGCTTGCTAAGCAGTATTCAAATATAATCACAAAAAACCTCCTACGATACCAAAACAATATAAAAGATGACTATACACATGGACTTCACCAGATATAATAAAGAGAAATCAAACTGATTACATCTGTGGAAAGAGACAATGAAAAAGCTTAATATTATTGGCCAAAACAAGGCCATGCTCAGACTGTGGAACAGACCAGACCATCAATTGCTCAGAAGCAAACCTAGGATGATGCAGAAAAAAAAAATTTTAAGTCCACAAGAGTCAAAATATAACCTTCAATATACCCCACCAGAATTTAGAGATCATCTGAAGAATACATTTGATGCATTAGACACTAAAGACCAAAGACCAAAAGAGTTGTGTGACGACATCAAGAACATAATACAGGAAGAAAGCAAAAGATCATTCAGAAGACAAGAGAGCAGGAAAAGACCAAAATGCATGTCAGAAGAGACTGAAATTTGCTCTCCAGTGTAGAGGTGCAAAAGCAAATGGAAGAAGTGAGGTGGTACAAGAGCTGAGTAGAAAATTTCAAAGGGAAGTTTGAGAAGACAAAGTCAACTGTTATAATGAAATGTGCAAAGACCTGGGGTTAAAAATCAAAAAAGAAGAACACGCTCAGTATTTTTCAAGCTGTGGGAACTGAGGGAAAAAAAAAAAAAAAAATCAAGCTTTGACTGTGGTACTGAAAAATTCTGAGGAAAATTATTGAATGATGCAGAAAGCATCCAAAGAAGATGGAAGGAATATACAGAATCACTGTGCCAGAAATGTTTGATGTTCAACCATTTCAAGAGGTGGCATATGATCAAGAGTGAATGATCCTGAAGGAAGAAGTCCAAGGTGCATTGAAAGCATTGGCAAAAAGAAAGGCAATGGGAATTGATGGAGTACAAATTGAAATATTTCAACAAACTGATGCGGCACTGGGGGAACTCACCTATCTACGTCAGGAGATTTGGAGGACAGCTACCTGGGCAACTGACTGGAAGAGATCCATATTTGTGCCCATTCTAAAGAGAGGTGACCCAACAGAATGTGGAAATCAGTGAACAACACAATTAATTTCGCACACAAGTAAAATTTTATTAAAAGTAATACAAAAATGGCTGCAACCATACATTTACAAAGAGCTTCCAGAGGTTCGAGCCAGATTCAGAAGAAGACATTGAGTGGGGGGTATAACTGCTGATGTCAGATGGATCTTGGTTGAAAGCAGAGAATACCAGATAGATGTTTACCTGTGTTTTACTGACTATGTAAAGGCTTTCAATTGTGTGGATTATGACAAGCTATGGACAACATTGCAAAGTATGAGTAATCTGGAACACAAGTGCTCATGAAGAACCTGTACATAGACCAAGAGGCAGTTGTTTGAACAGAACAAGGGAATACTGAATGGTTTAAAAAATAGGAAAGGTATGTTCCAGGGTTCTATTCGTTTACCAAATTTATTCAATCTGTATGATGAGCAAATAATCTGAGAAACTGGGTTATATGAAGAAAAATGTGACATCAGGATTGGACGAAGACTTATTGACAATCTGCAACTTGCAGATAATACAACCTTACTTGCTGAAAGTGAACAGGACTTAAAATACTTACTGATGAAGATCAAGGACCATAGCCTTTAATGGGTTGTACCTCAATGTAAAGAAAACAAAAAATTCTCAACACTGGACCAGTAGACAACATCCATATAAGTGGAGAAAAGATTGACATTGTCAAAGACTTCATTTTTCTTGGATCAACTACCAATACTCAGGGAAGTAACAGTGAAGAAATCAAATGACATATTACATTAGGCAACTTTGCTACACAAGACATCTTTCAAGCATTGAAAAGCAAAGACGTCAGTTTGTGGACTAAGGTGCACCTGACCCAAGCCATGGTGTTTTCAATAACCTCATATGCATGCAAAAGTTGGACAGTGAATAAGGTAGACCGTAGAAGAATTGATGTATTTGAGTTAGGGTGTTGGAGGAGAATATTGAAAGTACCATGGACTGCCAAAAGCACAAATAAATCTGTGTTGGAAGAAGTACAGCCAGAGTGCTTCTTGGAAGCCAGGATGGCCAAACTTCATCTCTCATACTTCGAACACATTATCAGGAGGAACCAGTCACTGGAAGAGGCTATAATGTTTGGTAAAGTGGAGAGTCGGAGAAAAAGAGGAAGCCCCCTAAAGATGGATTGGCACAGCAGCAGTAACAATGGACTCAGGCCTAGCAAAGATTGTGAAGCTGGCCCAGGACCAGACAGTGCTTCGTTCTGTTGTGCTTAAGGTCACTATGAGTCGGTACCAACTCGATGGCACCTAAACTACTACATCCAAACCATACCTACCTAATTTCCTTCATCTGTTTAAGTAATTCTTTTTTATATTTTTCGATTTTTAGTTTTTGCTGAACAATGAGACTTTTATCTTTTAAAATGGCTTCATTTTTTCTTAATTTGTCAACTTTAATTATTCCTTGCAAGAAAATAGTGCGCTCATTACTTAATTCTTGAATTAATAAACGCTCGCTAGTCTTCTGTTTCTTTTCTTCTAGAAACTGAATTCTTCTTTCTCTAACTTTTTCAATGTATTTGAGTCTGTCTTTCCAGTGTTGTTGTAAACCATTTTGAATTGTCTCAGTATCTTTTTCATTTACTTGATGTATAGCATATCTTCTCTTATTCACAGATTCTTCAGCAGTTTGTCTAACTTTTCCCTTGTCAACTTGTGTCTTGGCTATAGTTGTTACTTTTTTCATATGACTTTCTTGCTTCTTTTGTTCTGAGTAAAATTTATCAATATCACAAGGTGCTTGGAGTTTGATACCACTTCTCTGTGTTATAAAAAATTCTCCTAAATTTCTCTCTGACACTGTGTCCCTTTTAATTGTTGGTTTTTGATGAATGGCAGAAAGTGGCTGGACATATGCAGGAAAACGGTCTTGTTTTTGCTCTTTCAATACTTCAGCACCCTTTGATAAATCTAAAGTATATATAGGTAGCTTGGACACTGTCATTCTAAAGCTGGCATCCAGTTCATCATCTTTAATTTCATCTTCACATTCCTTCTGACCTGCATCACATAGAAGACAAAATTAATTATGCAAAAGTTAAACACAGGTTATCTTGTACCAATTTTTTGCATATCTGCATTAATAAAGCTGATAAAAAGCCTGTTATTTGGTTTCTTAAGTATTTTTCCCCAATTCTTGGCTCTTTTCAGATTGTAATTTAATAACGACTTGCAGGGGAAAATCACTATTGAAACATTTCAACATAGAAATGAAATTGCTCTGATTCCTATATTTCCTGTATTATTTCTCACAATTATTTAACTTGCTCTGACTCAATTCCAGCATCTTATCTCATACATAGTACTTAAATTATATATATATGATATGTATGTGATATTACAGTATGTATATAATATATGCAAATTCAAATTAAAGCTGAAGAAAATGAAAACAAATCTACGAGAGCCAAAATATGATCTTGAATTTATCCCT